AAATCTCATATTGTTCCCCTGGAGACTCTTGCCGCCAATGAAACAAATCTCATATTGTTCCCTGTGAGACTCTTGCCGCCAATTAAACAATGCTCATATTATCCGCCCCTGAGACTCTTGCCGCCAATGAAACAAATCTCATATTGTTCCTCAGGAGACCCTTGCCACCAATGAAACAAATCTCATATTGTTCCCCTGGAGACTCTTGCCGCCAATGAAACAAATCTCATATTGTTCCCCTGGAGACTCTTGCCGCCAATGAAACAAATCTCATATTGTTCCCCTGGAGACTCTTGCCACCAATGAAACAAATCTCATATTGTTCCCCTGGAGACTCTTGCCGCCAATGAAACAAATCTCATATTGTTCCCCTGGAGACTCTTGCCGCCAATGAAACAAATCTCATATTGTTCCCCTGGAGACTCTTGCCGCCAGTGAAACAATGCTCATATTATCCGCCCCTGAGACTCTTGCCGCCAATGAAACAAATCTCATATTGTTCCCCTGGAGACTCTTGCCGCCAATGAAACAATACTCATATTATCCGCCCCTGAGACTCTTGCTGCCAATGAAACAAATCTCATATTGTTTCCCCCTGAGGCTGGTGCCAACAGTGGCGTCATATGTTTTGTCAATACCAGTATTTCTTCCAGGACTATTTCTGTTTCTTCTGCTTGAGACTTTTTTGTTCCGCTATTTCCCGGCTGCCATGTCCCAACACCTAATCTGATTACAATGGGTTGTATAAGGCTTGGGTTCTTCTGGCGATGTATTATTGATTGTCCTCTGATGACTGAGGTGTACATGTAGTAATTAGATTGCCTCCTCACCTCTCAAATAGTGACACGTTTTCCCTCACTCCTTCACTTGTAAAACAGAGACATTTACCTACTTGAAATTGTGAGGCCAACAAGAAGTTCTTTTGTCACGCTTTTATTTAAATACAGTCGAACCTGAATTTTCAAATGTACTGATATCTGGAACCTATTCTCTGTACCTGACCGCCGCACTTCATAAATACATCTATATTTGCATGCTTATCTCTAATTTGGAGTGATGGGGATTGGCCTGAAGTTTGTTCAATATTCAAATTTATTGCAATAATGCTTCTTGTATTGCATACATACCACAATATATTGCATGCATTCTTCCATCTGTAATTTGTTATGAACCTGAATAAAAAACACTTCCCCTGCATGTTTTTGACCACTTCGTATAATGTGGGATGTTGCTATGGTCTCAAGGCATTATGTACAGGAAACTGTCACATCATGTTTCACTTTTTTGTCCCAGGAAAAAGTTGCTAATTTCTTAATTTCCATTTGAGTTGTCACTAGTGTAAAATCTTCCAAAAAGATGATATGTATGATCCAACTGTCGTGGTATTCTTTATTGACAAATAAAACATGGTGAATAGACATGAGTGAAACCATGGCAGCACTTCCTGGTTACATCCCAAAGTACAGAGCAAAGTCGGATAAAGGAATCAAAGCTGTGTGCTGCCACTCATATGGCACAATGTCCAAGCTGTGAATTAGTCATGTCAACAAGCTTGAGACATGGGTGTAGCTTTCATAACACTGAATCATGGCTGTAACTTTTATAACACTCAGTGGTGGCTGTAACTTTCATAACACTCAGTGATGGCTGTAACTTTTATAACACTCAGTGGTGGCTGTAACTTTTATAACACTCAGTGGTGGCTGTAACTTTTATAACACTCAGTGATGGCTGTAACTTTTATAACACTCAGTGGTGGCTGTAACTTTTATAACACTCAGTGATGGCTGTAACTTTTATAACACTCAGTGGTGGCTGTAACTTTTATAACACTCAGTGGTGGCTGTAACTTTCATAACACTCAGTGGTGGCTGTAACTTTCATAACACTCAGTGGTGGCTGTAACTTTCATAACACTCAGTGGTGGCTGTAACTTTCATAACACTGAATCATGGCTGTAACTTTTATAACACTCAGTGGTGGCTGTAACTTTTATAACACTCAGTGATGGCTGTTACTTTTATAACACTCAGTGATGGCTGTAACTTTTATAACACTCAGTGGTGGCTGTAACTTTCATAACACTCAGTGGTGGCTGTAACTTTCATAACACTGAATCATGGCTGTAACTTTTATAACACTCAGTGGTGGCTGTAACTTTCAGTACACTGAATCATGGCTGTAACTTTCATAACACTCAGTGGTGGCTGTAACTTTCATAACACTCAGTGGTGGCTGTAACTTTCATAACACTCAGTGGTGGCTGTAACTTTCATAACACTGAATCATGGCTGTAACTTTTATAACACTCAGTGGTGGCTGTAACTTTCATAACACTCAGTGATGGCTGTAACTTTCATAACACTGAATCATGGCTGTAACTTTTATAACACTCAGTGGTGGCTGTAACTTTCATAACACTCAGTGATGGCTGTAACTTTTATAACACTCAGTGGTGGCTGTAACTTTCATAACACTCAGTGATGGCTGTAACTTTTATAACACTCAGTGGTGGCTGTAACTTTTATAACACTCAGTGGTGGCTGTAACTTTCATAACACTCAGTGATGGCTGTAACTTTCATAACACTCAGTGGTGGCTGTAACTTTCATAACACTGAATCATGGCTGTAACTTTTATAACACTCAGTGGTGGCTGTAACTTTCATAACACTCAGTGATGGCTGTAACTTTAATAACACTGAATCATGGCTGTAACTTTTATAACACTCAGTGGTGGCTGTAACTTTCATAACACTCAGTGATGGCTGTAACTTTCATAACACTGAATCATGGCTGTAACTTTTATAACACTCAGTGGTGGCTGTAACTTTCATAACACTCAGTGATGGCTGTAACTTTTATAACACTCAGTGGTGGCTGTAACTTTCAGTACACTGAATCATGGCTGTAACTTTAATAACACTCAGTGGTGGCTGTAACTTTCATAACACTCAGTGGTGGCTGTAACTTTCATAACACTCAGTGATGGCTGTAACTTTTATAACACTCAGTGGTGGCTGTAACTTTCAGTACACTGAATCATGGTTGTAACTTTCATAACACTCAGTGATGGCTGTAACTTTCATAACACTCAGTGGTGGCTGTAACTTTCAGTACACTGAATCATGGCTGTAACTTTCATAACACTCAGTGGTGGCTGTAACTTTCATAACACTCAGTGGTGGCTGTAACTTTCATAACACTGAATCATGGCTGTAACTTTCATAACACTCAGTGGTGGCTGTAACTTTCATAACACTGAATCATGGCTGTAACTTTTATAACACTCAGTGGTGGCTGTAACTTTTATAACACTCAGTGGTGGCTGTAACTTTCATAACACTCAGTGATGGCTGTAACTTTTATAACACTCAGTGGTGGCTGTAACTTTCATAACACTCAGTGATGGCTGTAACTTTCATAACACTCAGTGGTGGCTGTAACTTTCATAACACTGAATCATGGCTGTAACTTTTATAACACTCAGTGGTGGCTGTAACTTTCATAACACTCAGTGATGGCTGTAACTTTTATAACACTCAGTGGTGGCTGTAACTTTCATAACACTCAGTGATGGCTGTAACTTTCATAACACTCAGTGGTGGCTGTAACTTTCATAACACTGAATCATGGCTGTAACTTTTATAACACTCAGTGGTGGCTGTAACTTTCATAACACTCAGTGATGGCTGTAACTTTCATAACACTGAATCATGGCTGTAACTTTCATAACACTCAGTGGTGGCTGTAACTTTCATAACACTCAGTGGTGGCTGTAACTTTCATAACACTGAATCATGGCTGTAACTTTCATAACACTCAGTGGTGGCTGTAACTTTCATAACACTCAGTGATGGCTGTAACTTTCAGTACACTGAATCATGGGTGTAACTTTCATAACACTGAATTATGAGTGTAACTTTCATAACACTGAATCATGGGTGTAACTTTCATAACACTGAATCATGAGTGTAACTTTCATAACACTGAATCATGGGTGTAACTTTCATAACACTGAATCATGAGTAACTTTAATAACAATGAATCATGAGTGTAACTTTTATAACATTGAATCATGAGTGTAACTTTTATAACACTGAATCAGTAGTGTAACTTTTATAACACTGAATCATTAGTGTAACATTTATAACACTGTATCACAAGTAACTTTTATAACATTGAATCATGAGTAACTTTTATAACACTGAATCATGAGTGTAACTTTTATAACACTGAATCATGAGTGTAACTTTTATAACACTGAATCAGTAGTGAAACTTTTATAACACTATCACAAGTAATTTTTATACCACTGAATCATGAGTGTAACTTTTATAACATTGAATCATGAGTGTAACTTTTATAACACTGAATCATTAGTGTAACTTTTATAACACTGAATCATTAGTGTAACTTTTATAAAACTGAATCATTAGTGTAACGTTTATAACACTGAATCATGGCTGTAACCGTCAACAAAACACTGAATCCTAGCTGGCTGAGTGATATGTCACAAGAAGCTTCACTGACTGCCTCATCACCACACTGAAACTCCCTAGTACCCAACACCTAGCCCCACACTGCCACCCGGCTTTATCTGAGCGAGCGGCCGCCAGAGGACACACCTTTCTCCCTGTAAGACTGTGAGCCAGTAATGAGGAGGACATGGCTGCTGATGCATTAGGTTCATGGACACAGCTCGTCTTAACAAATGTTTGTACGATCACAGTGGAAGGATCAATACTTCTCATTTTCTATTCATGTAAACTGATTGCGTTCATAGTTCACTGTCGACAGGTATAGTGTTACTACAGCGGTGTTGAAGGGGACACGGCAGCGGCCGCCGTCCACGACGTCATCTACTTCACTCCTGGGACTGTGGCATACAGCTGCTTGGTGAAGGTGGCCATGTGTGCCTCCTCTGTCTGTATTTGTGAATGAAACAGCTGTTCATGGGATTTTGATCCTGTAAAGAGAGAGTATGCTTCCTGTTTTCAGGGTACAGGAATCGGATGGAAATTTCTTTGAGAGTTTTACGGCTTTAGCCTGGAGGCAGGAGAATAAACGTCTTCGACTAGCAAGCGAGGTAAGCCAACTTCTTATGTATGCCTGTTCACAATGTGAAGATGCAACTTGGTGTTTTGTATCTTTCTTCTCTTATTGATGCTTTCCCTAATTTACCTTACACCGAAGAAATATTGACATGCCCTGAACACCAACACTGGGATACACATATAGGTAAATAACACTTGACATGCCCTGAACACCAACACTGGGATACACATATAGGTAAATAACACTTGACATGCCCTGAACACCAACACTGGGATACACATATAGGTAAACAACACTTGACATGCCCTAAACACCTACACTGGGATACACATATAGGTAAATAACACTTGACATGCCCTGAACACTGGGATACACGTATAGGTAAATAGCAATTGACATGCCCTGAACACCAACACTGGGATACACATCTAGGTAAATAACACTTGACATGCCCTGAACACTGGGATACACGTATAGGTAAATAACAATTGACATGCCCTGAACACTGGGATACACATCTAGGTAAATAACACTTGACATGCCCTGAACACTGGGATACACGTATAGGTAAATAGCAATTGACATGCCCTAAACACCAACACTGGGATACACATCTAGGTAAATAACACTTGACATGCCCTGAACACCTACACAGGGATACACATCTAGGTAAATAACACTTGACATGCCCTGAACACCAACACTGGGATACACATCTAGGTAAATAACACTTGACATGCCCTGAACACTGGGATACATGTATAGGTAAATAGCAATTGACATGCCCTGAACACCTACACTGGGATACACATCTAGGTAAATAACACTTGACATGCCCTGAACACCGACACTGGGATACACATCTAGGTAAATAACACTTGACATGCCCTGAACACTGGGATACACGTATAGGTAAATAGCAATTGACATGCCCTGAACACCTACACAGGGATACACATCTAGGTAAATAACACTTGACATGCCCTGAACACTGGGATACACGTATAGGTAAATAGCAATTGACATGCCCTGAACACCTACACTGGGATACACATCTAGGTAAATAACACTTGACATGCCCTGAACACTGGGATACATGTATAGGTAAATAACACTTGACATGCCCTGAACACCTACACAGGGATACACATCTAGGTGAATAACACTTGACATGCCGTGAAGACCTACACAGGGATACACATCTAGGTAAATAACAATTGACATGCCCTAAACACCAACACTGGGATACACGTATAGGTAAATAGCAATTGACATGCCCTGAACACCAACACTGGGATACACATCTAGGTAAATAACACTTGACATGCCCTAAACACCTACACTGGGTTACACATCTAGGTAAATAACACTTTACATGCCCTGAACACTGGGATACACGTATAGGTAAATAACAATTGACATGCCCTGAACACCTACACATGGATATACATCTAGGTAAATAACACTTGAATGCCCTGAACACCAACACTGGGATACACATCTAGGTAAATAACAATTGAAATGCCCTGAACACCAACACTGGGATACACATCTAGGTAAATAACACTTGACATGCCCTAAACACCTACACTGGGATACACATCTAGGTAAATAACACTTGACATGCCCTGAACACTGGGATACACGTATAGGTAAATAACAATTGACATGCCCTGAACACCTACACTTGGATATACATCTAGGTAAATAACACTTGAATGCCCTGAACACCTACACAGGGATACACATCTAGGTAAATAACAATTGACATGCTCTAAACACCAACACTGGGATACACATCTAGGTAAATAACAATTGAAATGCCCTAAACACCTACACTGGGATACACATCTAGGTAAATAACACTTGACATGCCCTGAACACCAACACTGGGATACACATCTAGGTAAATAACACTTGATAGGCCCTGAACACAGGGATACACATCTAGGTAAATATACCCCTACAACTCAAGACTATACCAGATTCCCCATATACCCCAACAACTCAAGACTATACCAGACTCCACATATAACCTTTCAACTCAAGACTATACCAGACTCCACATATACCCCTTAAACTAAATACTAAACAAGACTCCACATATAACCTGTCAACTCAAGACTATACCAGACAGAGTCTGATATAGTCTTGAGTTGTAGGGGTATATGGGGAGTCTGGTATAGTCTTGAGTTGACAGGTTATATGTGGAGTCTGGTATAGTCTTGAGTTGTAGGGGTATATGTGGAGTCTGGTAGAGTCTTGAGTTGTAGGGGTATATGTGGAGTCTGGTATAGTCTTGAGTTGACAGGTTATATGTGGAGTCTGGTATAGTCTTGAGTTGTAGGGGTATATGTGGAGTCTGGTATAGTCTTGAGTTGTAGGGGTATATGTGGAGTCTGGTATAGTCTTGAGTTGTCGGGGTATATGGGGAGTCTGGTATAGTCTTGAGTTGTAGGGGTATATGTGGAGACTGTTACATATTTTTAGATAAATTAGTATTTTTTTTGGATATTATTACAGGTATAATTACAAGTATTATGCCAGTATTTTACAACTGTTATTGCAGGTTTTATTGCAAGTGTTATCAACGTATTACTGGGGCAATCAGAGCTGCAGACCCGTCATTGTTGTAATCTCCATGTGGTCACAGAACCATCATTATGTAATAATAACATATACTTGTGCATCTGAAGTTTCCATGGTAATAGTATTAACTATCATGCACCAGCATATTAATGATGAATTATGAGAGAATTAGGGATTTCCGATGCTGCTACTGGCAGGTTCGTTATCCAGTAGTTAAAGAGAGCTTCTGATCCTCAACATCCCTTGCATATCCAATATCACTGTACAAGAGGGAAATACTGATGACCAATGAGTGTACAGAAGAGTGTCACTGATGACCAATGACTGTACAGGAGAGTGTCACTGATGGCCAATGACTGTACAGGAGAGTGTCACTGATGACCAATGACTGTACAGGAGAGTGTCACTGATGACCAATTACTATACAGGAGAGAAATACTGATGACCAATGACTGTACAGGAGAGTTACCACTGATGACCAATGACTGTACAGGAGAATGTCACTGATGACCAATGACTGTACAGGAGAGTGTCACTGATGACCAATTACTATACAGGAGAGAAATACTGATGACTAATGACTGTACAGGAGAGTTAACACTGATGACCAATGACTGTACAGGAGAGTGACACTGATGACCAATGAATGTACAGGAGAGAAATACTGATGACCAATGACTATACAGGAGAGTACCACTGATGACCAATGAATGTACAGGAGAGTGACACTGATGACCAATGACTGTACAGGAGAGTGACACTGATGACCAATTACTATACAGGAGAGAAATACTGATGACCAATGACTGTACAGGAGAGTGTCACTGATGACCAATGACTGTACAGGAGAGTGACACTGATGACCAATTACTATACAGGTGAGAAATACTGATAACTAATGACTGTACAGGAGAGTTACCACTGATGACCAATTACTATACAGGAGAGTGACACTGATGACCAATTACTATACAGGAGAGAAATACTGATGACCAATAACTGTACAGGAGAGTTACCACTGATTACCAATGACTGTACAGGAGAGTGACACTGATGACCAATTACTATACAGGAGAGAAATACTGATGACCAATTACTGTACAGGAGAGTGACACTGATGACCAATTACTATACAGGAGAGAAATACTGATGACCAATGACTGTACAGCAGAGTACCACTGATGACCAATGACTGTACAGGAGAGTGACACTGATGACCATTAAATGTACAGGAGAGTTAAACTTATGACCAATGACTGTACAGGAGAGTGACACTGATGACCAATTACTATACAGGAGAGAAATACTGATGACCAATGACTATACAGGAGAGTACCACTTATGACCAATGAATGTACAGGAGAGTGACACTGATGACCAATGAATGTATGGGAGAGTGACACTGATGACCAATGACTGTACAGGAGAGTGTCACTGATGACCAATGAATGTACAGGAGAGTGACAGTGATGACCAATGAATGTACAGGAGAGTGATACTGATGACCAATTACTATACAGGAGAGAAATACTGATGACCAATGACTATACAGGAGAGTACCACTGATGACCAATGAATGTACAGGAGAGTGACACTGATGACCAATGAATGTATGGGAGAGTGACACTGATGACCAATGACTGTACAGGAGAGTGACACTGATGACCAATGACTGTACAGGAGAGTGACACTGATGACCAATGAATGTACAGGAGAGTGACACTGATGACCAATGACTGTACAGGAGAGTACCACTGATGACCAATGATTGCATGGCGGAGTAACTCAGCTTATTTAATTATTTCAGAGGGTGTCACATGATGGTAGGACTCAAGAGACATTAATCTGCTGTTGTTGAATTTTTCTCATTATTTGTGACGTATTGACTAACTATGTTCGCTGTTGTGGATCCAGTACTACCAGTACCAGCAAGGTTCTGTGAGGACAATGTTCTCATCCTCTGTGTTTACCCCTGGAGTTTTGTCACTTGATTACTGAGAATTGCTGACAATACTTTTAGCAGAAGATATTTTACTTTTCTCAGACACTGTATTTGGACTTCAGAAGTATTTGGATACCATGGATATTGCAACAAGTGGAAACTATCTATTGACCTAGATGTAACTGAAATTGTTGTTTTTAGGAAATATGGTCCCATGAAGAAATGTTTCATGAAAAGTTGGCAATGGTCACATTGTAGAATTAGTTTGTCTTGGATATCTATACCAGATATGTTGGGGGATTTTTTAGCCCAAAACTAAATGTCCAAAAAATCAGTTGAAAGCACTTGTGAAAAGGGCCAAAAAAAGAACTCTTGTGAGCTTTTAGAAAGAATGAATAGCATGAGAGTTTAACCTGTTACATATTTTTTAAGATGTTGAACATGAAGATAAAATATTCCTGTATGTGGAAGTGAACTGTGGTGTTTCCAAAGATTTAATG